TGTTTAAATTGCCAAGAGGCGGCCTGGAGAAGTTACTCAGCAGTTGTTAGTGCTGACTGCTTTTCCAGAAGACCTAGGTGCAATTCCCAGGACCCCCATGGTGACTCACAAAGATCTCTAACTCCAGGTGATCCAGTGCCCTCTTCTAGCCTCAATATGCACCACATGTACCTGGTGTACAGACTTACATACAGGCAAAACACCCATACATGGGCTGGAGAGATGGCTCAGCGGTTAAGAGCACTGACTGCTCTTTCAGAGGACCTGGGTTCAATTCCCAGCACCCAACTGTCTATAACTCCAAGATCTGACACTCCTCACACAGACTTACATACAGGCAAAACACCCATACACACAAAAAAAAGAACAGATAAAAAAAATGTAAAAAATAATTGCCAAAAGGAAAAATGATCAACCAATTTCATGTTTTTATACAATGAAAGTATCCTTCATAAATGAATATGAAGTAAATACACCCTCGAATAGACCAAAGCTGATCAAGTTCATCACCAACAGACGCTGAAAGAAATGCTTGAGGCCAAAGGGAAGTGATATTAGGTGGACAGTCAGACAGATCTGCATGAAATAATAATGAGAAAAGCAGAAAAGAGAAATCGCTTCACAAATTAGAGACATATTTTCACAGTCATCATATACAATAGTTACACATTTCTACACATCAAAACATTACAGTGTTCAGCACATTTTGTAATAGGAGAAGCAAAATGTAAGACTATAGTATCACAGAGAATAGGAGAGGGATAAATGGAATTATGCGATTATTAATTTCTTGTATATATATTATTAACAGAGTAACATTATTTTTTGTTTGTTTGCTCTCTTTTGTGTTTTGAAGGTAGGTGACGATAATTAAAGATTTAAATTGAGGGCTGGTGAGATGGCTCAGCAGGTAAAGGCACTTCCCACGAACATCTGGAGACCCGAGTTTGATGCTGGGACCTAAACAAAGTAGAAAGAGAGAACTGATTCTACACAGTTGTCTTCTGACCTCCACATGTGCACTGTATCCCGTGTGTGGCCACATTCACACACACGCACAATGATAATAAATCAAAATTTTAAAACGATGCAAATTGAGATTTCTAGAGCCACTATTCCATCTAACATAAGAAAAATGTAGGAAGATAATTTAGAGGGTGAGTGGAAATATGAAAATGCCCAATGTAGACAAAAGAAGCCACGAAACAGGGACTAGAGACATGCAGCCCATGACGTGTGGAATGGATGGAGGAAGTGAGTTTCTCACATGTGCTATTCCTGGTCAATGATTGTCTTTGGAAATTTGCTTCTGCTACAGACCTGATAATGTTTTGTCATTGAATTCAACCTAAAACTGCAAGGAAAACAGAGCTGGTAAGTAAAATGCATACTGTAGTAAAATCATTTTGATACAACTAACATTGATTACACCACAAATAATGATGAGCTGCTTCTCACGCTCCCCATACTGTCAACAGTTAAAACAGGAAGCAAGGTCTCCATTCCAGCACCAGTGTGTTCTTCTGAGCTCAAACTACAGTTCCAAGAGGGATTTTTGAAAAATGTCATTGGAAGTGCAAAGGCTATTTCCACATTTAAGATCCATTTGACTACCACTGAGGAGTGTCCACTAATTTCAACTGTACTTAGCTAATTTGCAGGCTCCGGGTGAGCTGTTGTGAGAATCTGTAGAGTTCTAATAGAACTTTTAAAATGTCTTCCGAGAACTGAAAGTCAAATAAAATCACACACTCATGGATTCCCATGAACATGTGGTGCCACCTATGTGGATGAAGAGGTGCTTCAAAATCAAACCTGTATATTCCCATCAAAGGGCAGCATTAAATAAGGCAGGCATGAGGTTAACCCATCACTCAGGAGATGAAGGTCATCCTCTGGCATAGATTAGAGGCCAGCCTGAGCTACAAGAACAATACTTGCTTTGAACCTCAGGTCAGTAAAAGTTATTCCCTGCAAAGCGAATTTCATTCCTTTCATTAACAGCCTTGCATTGAAAATACTGTTCAAAAATGTGTGGACTTTCCAGCCCTCTTATTATATAGGTATTTACACAAAGTCTTCAGTTTTGCCTCTTGGCCCACAAAGCTTAAAGTATTTGCTAAAAGGCCTTTTGCAGAGCCTGTCAACCGTGGGCTAAATGTAGCTTTTGCTATAGCTGCTCCTGTGTTCTTTGTTTTGGAACCACAGACATTCTACCTCAGACTGCCACCTCTATGAATCACCAGGAGAAGGCCAAGACATGTCAGGAATGGAAGTTGGAAGTTAGTTCAGTTGCGAGGTTGGGCAATCATCATAGCTAACACCAATTAGCACATGTAATATAGAGTGTTTTGCTAAAGAAACTCTTTGTAGAGAAGTCCCCCATACCTACAGGCTGGCTTTCCCCAGCTCCAGTTACCCACAGTCAGCCACAGACATGGAAATTTTCAGACACAGTAGTATGTTTTATTTGCTTTTATTATAGTAGGATATAATTGCTCTGTTTTATTATTAATTATGGTTAGTTTCTTACTGTGTCCAATTTATAAATGAAACTTTATTGTATATATGTATGAGTGTATATATATATACATATAAATATGTATATGTACATATATGTGTGTAGTGTCTGGCTTTAAGTATATCCTGGGCCTCTTGGTATACATCCTCCATGGATAAGGAAAGACTACTGCTCATATCGTCTTATATTTATGAAAATCTTATTAATTAGGTACTCCTCATCTCATAGAAGCTGAGAAGTTATCAGAGATCCCATTGATAGGTAAGTGATATAAGGGTGCACAAGACTTAACTCAGTAAAAGCCCATCAGACCTGGTGTCTGCAAACATCAGTGAGAAGAAGCAAAGGAAAAACAAGAACTGCTTAGCTGGGGATGAAGGTGGAGCACTAGCTTAGAACGCATGAGGCCTGAGTTCAACCTCCAGGACATGAACAAATCAACCAATAAGTGGATGTTTAAGTCCTCCTTTCCCTGCAGAAAGAACAAAGGTGAGTCATGCATAGTGACCCAGGCTTGTCGTTCCAGCACCTGGAAGGCGGAGGCATTATCAAAGTCGGGAATATTCTCTGCTTCAAATCAAGGCCAACCTGGACTACAGGCTCAAGAAAATTTAAAAACTGGCTGGGTGTGGTGGTGCACGCCTTTAATCCCAGTACTTGGGAGGCAGATGGATCTAATTTCAAGGCCAGCCTGAGCTATATTGTAAGACCCCGTCTCACAACAAACAAACTCAACAAAGAAAAACCTATTAAAATCTACAACAAAAAGCTCCAAGAACCCAGGAGTAAAGGTAGGTATTTGTGAGGGATAAGAATGGGTAAATGCTTGTGGATGTGTTGGGAGCTAGTATACATAAGGATAAGTTCTCTTGGGGAACATGACTACTAGATGACAGACTGGTTGTGGTGCCTGGAGGTTCTAAAGGGGGGAAAATTTCCATTTTATCAGTAATGGGGTGCCTTCCCACTCCAACCCTTTTAACAATGTCATTTAGAGCGTTCTGATGAATGCATGAACGGAAGTATTGTTTGTGAAAGTCTGGGAATATTTTATGATGCTGAAAAGTGTGCAAGAAAAAAAAAAATACCAGAGGCAGAAGAGCTTACTAGTTCTAGGCCAGCCTGAGTGAGTTCCAGGCCAGTCAGGGCTACATTGGGAGACTTTGCTTCAAAATAACCCTGCCCCCCTTACCCCCCACCGCCCGCGCGCGCGCAAAGAAACCAGTGGGAATAGAGGGGTGAGTCTGGACAATCAAGAGTGGTCTTCAGCAGGGAACATGAATATAATGCCCTTTTACATACATGTGTTTATGTTTAATTTACCGTCAGAAGACAAAATGGTAGTGCACTTAGTCCTGCATCATATGCCCACACATTAAACCCTGTGTGTACTAGCGGGGTTAGAATTTAAACACGATCTTCTGCAGTGGGCATTTTAAGAGATTATAAATAGCAATAAAAACAGAGAGCTCAGAACGCTGGTGCTCAAGGCGAGCGCCTCAGCCCCAGGATTCTGGCTGCTCCTCCTCTGCAGGACCCCGGGCCGTCCCCTCCGCCAATGACCGAGCCGGAGCAGCGGCCCAGGGGAGGGCTAAGATCTGCAGGAAAGCGCCCTGTCAACTTTGTAGTCCAGTCACCTACGTCGGTTGGTAGCAGCCGCTGTGGCTTTAAATGGCCGGGGGATTTCGAATTGGGGAAGGCGGGAGGTCAGGCCGAGGGGCGCCCCCCGTCGCGGGGAGCCCCCGCCCGCCGCGTCCCCGGGCCCGAGCGCGGCCGCGCGGCTTTGTCTCCGGCGTCGCGCCCCGCACTTCCCCGTGCGCAGCCTGTAACCCGAGCTCCCATTTCCTGGTGGATTCTCTTAAAGCGGCCGCGGTCGCCGCGCAGAACAAAGGCCATTGTCTTGCTTCCTCCTGCGGCGCCGCGTCCTTCCCGGAAAGTCCCTTCCTAGACCGCAGTCCTTGGGTTGCATCGGCGCCCCGGGGAGCGCACAGAAAAGCCCCCACTGTGCATGGCCCAGGTTCCCCGGAGGTGCAGCCTGGGGAGGCGGGAGCGGGATGAACCAGGCTTGAGAGTCCTAGGGCCACGCTGCGAGGTTCCCCAAAGGCATCCTCCTCGGGGCGGCCCCGTGGGCACCCCGCGCCCCTCCCCCGCACGCCTTTTGATTTCCCCGCGGCCCGCGGTAACCCGAGCTTTTATTTCCTGGTGGCTCCTTTAAGAGGCAGAGCCCGGTGCTGGGAATTCACGTCAGTTTCTGCCCTGAAACTCTCAAGATCAATGAGCAGAGAGCTTTCTCAGTTCTGCCTTTCAGTTTCTCTCTTCCAGGAAGGAAAACATTCGAGAGAGAGGAGAGAGAGGGAGGGAGCGAGCGAGCGCCGCGGGGAGGGCGGGGGCGGGCGCGCCGG